AGTATAATTCAATACTTTGAGAGAGAGGGAAAAAGTAAAAGCTGACTTGGGGGAATGAGTACAATATTTCCATTGCCAGGATGCTTTGTAATGGATTCATTCCTTCCTTACAACACATTCATTTTGAAGTTGCAAAATCAGCTATACACACATCAGATTAAGTAACTCCATCTCCCACCATACTTTTCAAAGACAACAGTGCACCCTCCTACGAGCTGTATCTTCACACTGGTACAGACAACATCTTCCTTCCTCCTCAGAGCCAAATGCATCAGGGAAGGAATAGGATGGGAAGTTACTAGGAAAGAGGCTGCCGTGCATGTCTCAGACCTTCAAAGCCTGCTCCTATCACTACCATTACTATGCAAGAATTCACCAACAACCAAGTGGCCAGAAACACAAGAACAGCAGTACAACTATTTGCTCCTCTAAGTTCCTTCTAGAATGTTCAGGACAGCTAAGCCTGATTACAAACTAGTTATTTCCTTGTTTGTCTCCCACATCACATTATCAGTTCTCTGTGCTCAGCACACCTCTCTGCAGCTCAACACTTCATCAGGGAGCTGTGGAATCCATTGTTACTGCCTGTCTGGGAAGAACAGACAATGAACATCTCTTACCACTACCGTCAGAGACCGAAGCTGCCTTACAAACACCAGGAAAGAGAAAAAGGAAATCTGTCCTAAACCCTGCTCATGTACTCCCAACCTTCACCAGAACTCAAGGGCCTTCCTGCATGCAGCATTACACCCCTTATTTTTGTACTTTGCTGCTGCTCTGAGAACTAACAACATTCTGCCACCAACATGAAACAAGGCTTGGGGAAGAGTAGCCAGTCATGATAGTCCCTAAAAGGATGAGAGAGGGGTAGCAATCACTAGAGGTTTGTCTTGAATAAAAGAAGGAGTTGAACTTAATTCAATGTTAATTAGATCACATTAGCTGAATTCAATCTATTCTTGTCACGGTAAAGATAAGCCTTTTAAAAAATTAATTATTTCCTATTCTCCTTTGTATTTTGGCAAGGTGCAGAGTCACACAAGGAGAATAATCTTGCAGTACTCACTAAGGCATCACTCAAGGAGGACAGATTTAACATTAAGTGGAGAACATTTAATGTTAAGGGAACATTAAGAGAAACATTGATGTGTATCTTTAAGTCTATTTCGGAGTCTATTTCTAAGTTTAGCCTCCTTTCTTGTAGAGGTCAGATGTACATATAAACAAAATAATTTAGCTATTCATTTACTTTAGCAGCTAAATACACAAATATCCAAGTGTCAGAGAGACTAGTTTACACAGTAAACCACTTTACAGTTACCATTCAAATTCATCCATGACAATGATAAACTGAGGCATCTTCTAAAACATTAAGTGAACAAACCACACAAGCAGCAAATAAGCAGATCAAGTGTTTTTCACCATACTCTACAAAAATTGTTTATTTCCATTATTAAATGCAGTTGTCAAGTTTACTAAAGCCAGTCTCTGAAGAGATGCAAAGGTGTCAGGTGCTGGGATCAGCTTAGTTTCATACCTCCTCTAGCACAAAGAACAGAACAAAAACAAATGTCACTGCTGAAGCTAGGGAGTCACTATTAAACAGATGAAAGGCACTGGTCACAAGAAAAATGAAAGTAATTTAATAAGAAGATAACTCACACAAAATCAAAAATCTTTGATTACTAAGGACCCCAAAATTAACACATCTCACTTAGTTTTGCTTTTGGGGACACCAGCATTATCATATCAATCTTAAGGAAATTTACAAGGTCACACATGGCATTGTAATTCAGGAAACAAAACCACAACAGTTACGCACCACAAATCTGGGGCACTTAACTAAGCAAGGCTCCCCTTCAGCAAACACAAAGTATAATTGCCCCATTATACATTGTATCATATTACACATTCTCAAGAAGGCCTAATCAGTTAAATAAGTAATTCAAATCTGTCATTTGTTAACTTCCAAATGCTGATTTATAGAACATTATTTATTTCACATTAACTCTTCATACGAAGTTTCCCAAACTGGGGTTTTAAATTTCTACTTTATATTTGCATAAGCTCCTCTTGTGTTAAATTACATGATAAATAAAATGGGTTTTGAAGCATAAAAAAGTCTGAAGACCAACTGAAAACAGGTACCATCCTTACTGTTTCAAAAGTAACATCTGCCCCTATACATTAGGCTGGTGCTTATGCTAATATTTCAAAGAACTTTATTCAATATTTAAGACACAATCCACAAAAGTGTCTAGAAGGAACAACAGTACAGCCTAAATTAATTGTGACAACTGATAAAGAACAATAAGCTAAATCCTCAAGCTAGCATCATCTCTTTGTACATGTTGAAGAAGCTTAATGCAAGCACTACAACTTTTAAGAATAAATGAATGACACATTTTACACAAAAGATCAGAAAAAGGGAGACACCAAACCAAAGGTCTGTTATGTTACCCCACAGTGCTCCTGTCAGAACAGGATACCCAAAAGCAGCCAATGCACTCACCAGAAATCACTCTAACTAGGCTGCAACTTAGAGTCATCTTTCCAGGTAAAAGTGTTCCATTTATAGAAATCCACAGCATCTGCACACAGATTTGCAACACTGTGCTGCAACCCAAAGTTACCACAAAACTTCCCAGGGATTGACATGGTGTAAAATAACAAATAGCACACAAAACTAAAGGCACAAAATCCAAAGAGGATTGCAGAAAATTAGAACCCTCCCCAGCACCATGGTGCATAACACATAAACACATAGCTGCTTCTTCATTTGTAACAAAGATCACACAAGTTGTGGCATGAAAGTTTTTTGTTTTTTTTTTTGCAGGCCTTGGGAAGTTCAACATGATTTCCTGGTGGTGTGAAGGAAGTAAAGGATGGTAGGTGGTATAATTTCATAACAGATGATCATGTAATAGCAGATACGGAAAATTTGCTCTTTTAACCACAACTTATTTTCATGCAGGAAGGATTTTCTACATCTTGTCAATAAAAGTGCTACTTTGCAGAACCACATAATGAAGATTTTTAACTCCCTCTCTGAAGCACAAACCTGAAGAAAAAATTCCTGCTCAGAAAAACACTATGCATCTCCTTTTACAAATTTAGTCTTACAATACTTGTTCTAGTCCAAGGCACCTTAATAGTCTCCCTGTCAAAATCAGTGCATCAGCACAAGTGTCATAGCCAAGTCATCATCTGTCATCATGCAAAACTTCTTAAGAGCACACAACAACAAATTTGGAGCACACAGAGGTAGAAAATAATGTGAAGTTTAAGAAGCATTGCAGCAGAAACCTCTATCAGCATGCACAAAACCACAATACAGTAAAGAAGAAATTTGACCAGAGGCTTCTTGTCAGTTCTGGATCAGTATTTCTCAGCTGCTGATCCAGGGAGCAACAGACAGCTCTGAAATATCTGAAACAGCCTGTGGAACAGCTGCAAGGAAGGCTGGCTTGTGTTTTGGGCAGGAGGGGAGAAGAGGGAATTGCTTTCTTGTTTTTATGTTTTCAAAAATAGTTCTTGCATGCAGGCAAAATCAACACAAACAAAAATAAGAGCAGCAACTGAGCAATCAAACTTCAGCCTAATTTCATTGCAACTGTAACCTTCTATGGCCTTACTGCACAGTACAATCCTCAGATTGTATTCAATGAGGTCAGATGTCTCTTTGGACTTAAAAAGGTTGAAAGACATCCTGTAGATGACAGATAGTTGGCAGATAATAACATGGAAGACAAATGGAAGATGAGGATTTCTGAAGGACAAAGTAAGATGATGAGATAACCAGCATATATGATTACAGAAAGAAATCAAAATTCACCAGAGGGAAAAACCAAACATTTCTTAGATATGTTAAAATGCACAAAGGATTCAGAAAATAAAAGCCTCAACATACAAACTCTTTAACTTGACAATTAGGAATCATAAAGTAACAGAATATTCAGGAACTGAGATCTCTAAAACTAGATTTATGAAGCATGAACCTGCTCTTGTACCCAGTAATAAAAGTAAAGCCATAAAGAGCATTAGGTAGACACAAATTCGACCCCTTAAGCATACTAAAAGCTCTAGCATTTGAGTGGGCTTAATCACATCCCTCTAATACTACTAAATCAGAACCACCTCACCACTATTGCAACTATTTAACAGAGGTTTTAGGAAGCCCAGAAACAGTTGCACCGTTCCCCTACTTACTTGAATCCTCCCATCTGAGAAGGTGCAACTTCCAAGCAGAATAGTACAGAAATCCCAGTACCAGAAAGAGGCAGAGGGCTAGCAGCAGGTTACGCATAAACACCAAGAGTCCCATCTTCACATTAAATCTGCTCTTCTACATGACCTGAGAAAGAAAAACAGGTTGAGGCTGGAGCCACCTTCTCCAACGGGCATCCCCTCCAAAACGCGCAACCCCATACCCACCATAAGGCACAGATCCCAGACCGTGCTCCTGCATGAGCAAACACAGAGCATGCCAGCGGAACAAGAACCACCCCAGACAGCCCGTTCTGGCCGTCACAGCCACGGCGGTCACCGCCACGCCGTGACAGAGCATCAGCCCCGCTCCTGCCCGCTTCACACACCCGGCTCCAGCGCGGCCCTGCCCGCCGAGGCCTGGCGAGCACCGCGTCCTCCCGACACGCCACAGAGCGAGCCCACAGCGCCGGGGCGTCCCGCGGGAGCGGCCGGCGCAGCGCTGGTCCCGGCCGGAGCCCCGCGGAGTCCCGGGCACTCCGCGCTGCGGGGACGCGCTGCCCTACAGGAGGTGCGGGCGCCTGGGGAGAGGGGCTTGCCGGGCCCGAGCAGGACGGCAGCTGTCCGCCAGCTGACAGCTGCCAGCGGCCGGCTGGAGCCCGGTTTGAACGGGCAGCGGCTTCGCCACCGCCGGGCTGCCCCCGCCTCGCCGTGCTCCGCTACGGGCTACGCCGCGCCGCGCCCCGCCGGACCCCGCTCGGCGCGCCAGCCGCTGTGAGCGGCCCTGCCCGCCCCCCACCAATGGGACGGCGCGGGGGGTCGCGAGCCGGCCAATCGCGGGAGGCGTCCGCAGCCAATGGCGCGCGGGCAGGGGGTCCCCGCCGGAGGAGCGCTGCGGCAGGGCGGCGGTGCGCGTGCGCAGTGCGCCCCCCAGAATCAGCGCGTGGCCGTGGCGCCGCGTTGAACGGCCCGGGCCCGCTCCCCCCTCACGGCCGCTGCCGGGCATCGCTCCTCCTCCAAATCCCGCCGCCGCTCCCCAGTCACGCCGCCAGAGCACTGCGGTGCCTCCAGGTATGGCACTGGGTGGCCCCTGCCAGCACTGTACCCGCTGTGAGGCTCCGCATTGTCACCCCACAGCGCAGCACCTTCCGCCAGCTGAGGCACCTCAGCTGCTGCCGGCCGCTGCGCCCTGCAGTGACACGGCACCGCCCGCCCTCCAGGCACCGCACTGAGTGCGCTGCACCTCCCTTCAGGTGCTGCGCTGCCCGACCGCCGAGCACTGCTCCGATGGCCTCTCAGCCCTGCCCCGCTCCGCACAGCCAAGCTGCAGCCACGACACGGCAACGCAGCCCTGGGTTTGCTTCAGTCACTGCCCCCCACAGCACCTGTCCCTGCTGCACCGTCCGGCCACTGCCTTCACACTATCGGCTGGCTTCTGCAAGCCCTCCCAGCGCTGCACACCCAACAAGGTCCTGCCCAGCCCCTGCACAGCTCTGCGCCACCTCACCGGTGTGGCACAGCCTCCACCGCTGGACCACACCAAGCACACTGCACAGCACAGCTCACGCCACGCAGACAGTGCAGCTTCCCGGTATGTTAGAGTCTCCACCTTCTCACGGCACAGCTGCCCTGGGAGCACAGCAGCACTGGCACCAGCCTGCAACGCAATCTTCGCACAGCGTTGCCCTCGTTCTTGCTGGCCCCACAGCCCTCTAATGCTCCTTAGGCAGAGGGCAAGTGACAAACTCTAATCTAATACCTCTCAGGGATAGAATGACAAAGGGAAATTATTAGTCGTGAAGGGGAAAGTCATCGGAAAGGAAAGACATGGTGAGGAATAAACCTCCATCTTTAGTGATCAGCCCAGTGACCCTCCATTTGTCACTGATAACAGAAGGAAAACAAAAGGTGATTTTAAGGGAATCTTAGTAAGATTCCCTGCCCAGCATGGTGGCAGCTCCCACTGAGGTGAGCCCACGTGCCAGTGTTGAATGGCAGACACTGCCTTGAACAGCACAGAGCTGGCTGAGTACTATTGACAAAGTCAGTGACAAAAGGCCAAGTTCCTGCTGGTCACAGGGAGAGCTGGTGGGGGCTCATCCAGCCCCATTTTCACAGCCAGCAACCCCACTTTGTGCTCTGCACAAATGAAGTCGGTGCAAGTTGGTTGCTAGTGTGGCACCCACGCAGCCAGGCTTCCAGAGCTACCAAGCTCCTCTGCAGAGACACAAGGGAGACACATGTCCCACTGATACACCATTAGGTTTTTTGGATGCCAGCAACATCTTCTAGAGACAGCACGGGAGACCAACAGACTCATGCAAGCACCTAGGTATCACTGGTACTAATATCACCATGAGGAGGTATGTGGAGAGGGGACACGACCACATTCATGCAGCTCTGTCCATCTGCAGATCTGCCCCCAGGCTGCTGCCCCATCATCCCCCAGTTCAAAGGGCTGACCTGCTCAGGATGCTCGTTGCTCTGAGGCAGCTCCCTTCCCTCCAGCTTCACGGCAGGCAGCCAGAGCTGGTGCAGGCAGCCTCCTCCTATGGCCCCAGCTCTGCTACCGGGCTCATTTCTTCCAGCAACTCCACCGACTCCTGTGCCACATCATGTCTGGCTGGAGCCCAGTTTTACTTTACAAACGCTTGCTTTATGCCTGCTCCTCTCTTCCCCTCTTCATCCCTCCATCTGCGTAAGCTGGGTCTCATCTCCCTGCCTCAACCGCCCTTGTCCCTGTGACATGGAGCTGCTGCGCTGCCTGCTGCCACTGCGCCACATCTGCTCCAGCTGTCCCCAAGCTTCACCTAAACCGCCCCCGTACCGCATTTGAACCCCGCGGTGTGTGGGCACAGCAGGTGATCTGATTTCAGTGATGAGATAAGCGGGGACCTACAGCACAAAGCCAAATAGCGACAAGTCTGGGTCTTGCTCCTGAGCCGGTGTTTGTCACTCAGGAAACTCTAACCCCGTTATCAGGTGTCAGTGTGCTGCAAAGAGCCCAGGGATGAAGTCACCCTTCTTGCCAGCCTGGAAAAAACTCAGAAGGCAAGCGCTGTGCATCTTGGAAAATCAGGTAACAGTGCCTGGCAGCTGTTTGATGGCCATGAGATGAATTAAGGCAATGATTAGTGGCGTGATTTGATTCAAGTAGCAGGACTTTAGTCTGAACATGTTTCTACTTAGCTTACACATTTCATTCGCAGGCAGATGTCAAGCTGGATGTTGCTAGGAGATAGACAGCAGGGGAATAATTAAGTCTGATTAAATCCTATCATATTGCTGTGCTGCTTTCCAGAATGCTCTGGAGCTTTTTAAAGCCAAACTGACCAAATGATCAGGCAAATGGTCTAGCCCATCCTGTTCAACAAAACACACTTGCAGTAAACCAGCTGAGCCTGTAGCTACCCGTGTGTCTGCAGAGAATTTCCTACAGCAGCACTGGCCATGATCTGGAGAAAAAAGGCTCTGGCAGAGGGCACAGCTGGTGGCTGCATTAGCAGGTAGCATAAAACAGTTAGGGCTGGTCACTGCTTGGAGCAGGCAGTGAGGGGTCCTACCCCTGTGTTCCTGCATCACTGCTGCAGAGACACTCGTGTTGGACTAAGCATAACTTGGACACGCCAGCATGACCATAAGCAAAGCTTCCTTCAGCCCTTCTTTTGAAAGGAGCCCACCTGAGGTATGCCAGAATTGCTCTGCAAATTCCCCTCATGTGCATGAGGAGATGCTGAGCAGCATCTTTTCCCACCAGTAAATTAAGTTAGGCTGTAACTATCTGCATCAGATGCCAAATACACGCATCAGCCTTCAAGCTTCCTTCATAGAGACTTCTAATCTCATTTTGTTTCTTTACCACATAAAAATTACTATTCTAATACTCACACTGTAATCCTTCTCCCCAAATTAAATGTCATCAAATCAGACCCAATACAAATTAATGCAATATTTTATGATTAATTACATACCACTATATACCACACCAAAGATCTCTTTCAGTAATGGCTAGACAGAGATTACCTACGTGGATGCACAGGCTCAAGGAACACAATCTGGGCTGTAAGACACTTGTAGTTTTTCTTATTTCTCTGACCAAACTTGTTTCATCTCACACACTCATTATGTATTATTCTTAAATGCAGACTCTGAACGTGATCAGGCTGTGGAGAACACTTTACATATCTGGTGCTCTGGCTACTCTAAGAACAGGTATGTTAAACAGCATCAGCACCCGGCCCACACAAAACAAGTTAAAACAATCTGAACTTTGCTCAAAAATTCTGCCACCCTCCAGATGTTTTCAACAGCAAAGAATCACACTTACCACTTTGGGAGCAGGTAAACACCTGGGGCCTACCTGATTGCCTCCCCAAGTGCTCTGCCTGACTGGACCAGCTTTCCAAGGATCTTCCTCAGATGACGTGACCCAATGGTCCCACCTGGCAGGCGGTTGTGTGAGTGCAAGCCCCTGGCCAGCACCCTGCTCAGCAGTTCATCTCCTTGCAGTAATTCCAATACACTATGTTTGGTTCACTCATAGTTTCCAAGAGAGGAGGTAGGCTTGAACTGAAGACAAGCATTGAAGACTCCCACTTTTCTGGGTCTGTTTCAGGAGTCCCTGACCGTCACGTTCAGAAGAGCATCCCACCTCCCTGTGTCTGGCTTCAGCTTGCAGACATACCATTTTATTCTGCCTTCTGCTTGATTAAAGAGCCTTTCAGAGCCTGGCATTTTCTCTTTGTGACACTACACATATGCTGCAAGCAAACCCCCTCTCATCCGTCTTTCTGAAAAGCTAAATATACTGAGTCGCTTAATTCTCTTTCTGCCAGGCTTTTCCTCCCACCCTCAAGCCATTTTTTGTGTTTCTGCTCTATAGAGCCTCTCTGATTTTCCTGAATCCTTTTCAAGATACAGAATCCCACATTGAGCCTCCCTAATGCTTTGACACAGGGATTTAATCTGCTTTTCCTACTTTCTGTCTTAAAGGGCTGCATTAGTCCTTTCTACCATAGCATCAGGATAAGGATTCAGGCAGGATCCTCTTGAATCTTTTCCAGACCCCCTGCTGGCAGGTTAGAACCACTTGTATCACAGCTGCACATCCAGGAACTGATGAAAGGAGTTTGCTGGTTGGAGACACCTCCACTCCCACACACCTCCCTCACTTGCTCCCTTGTCCTAGAATCATGGATGTCATAGTTGCCACATTTGGGGGGGCTTAGGGAGCTGAGCTTGGCAGGCCTTAGGAAGATTTGCTAAGCCCTGGTGAGCTGTTCAGGAGCAAATGTCCTGCTCCTAGTAGGTTACTGCACTGTGAAAGAGAGGAGAGCACAGAACCAAGCAATGCCTGCTGGCATGCAGGCTGGTTTGACTGTCTAGGAAATATTTTGCAATGCCTGTTAATATTTTACCCATTCTGTCCAGAATGACAATGGTCACTGTAGAATCTGTGCACTGACTAGTTACCAGGCTGCACACCATTAACACAGCCTCTTAAAAATAATAGGCTAGGTGAAGGTTCCCACTTTAATTCTACTCCTTAAGAAACCAGCTAAAATAACCTTCCCCCCAGCAGCCTCCCCAGTGAAGCCTACCTGAGATCTGAGAGGGAAATACGGAGTCTTGCTCAGCCCAGTCTTGCTCAGCCATCACTGGATATCACAGTGCATTTCTTCATGCCAGTGCTGCAGGAATGTTGAATGAGCCCAGTTCCAGCTGTGGCCATGCTGCCTCTCTGAAGCCAGGAGTGCTGTCCTTGAGTTTCTGAGATGATTGCTGAATAAACTTGAATTTCTGAGACACTTAGAACTGTGATGGCCATGAACCTCAATGGGTTCATCTTGAGCTCTCCAAACAGGCATTACCCCATCCCCTTTCATACCATAAAAGCAGCTGGAAGAGTCAGGTGAGGCAGGCAGGCACCATCCAGCCACTGCCTCCTCTCAAACAGGAATGGCAGGAGTGACTCCATCTCATGTGCTGTCACAGAGAGGAGGGAATTCAGCAAAGCAGTGGCACAAGAAAAGGTCGCAGCTCCCCATACCAGCCACACTCATGCTACAGGCCCAAGTAATTTGCAAACAATTTGATGATTTAATCAGAGACTCTCCCAAACATATGTGTTAATTTTTAACGAATGGTCAGCTGGTAGGAAGCCAGCAGAATCGAAAGGGTCAAGGCAATGGGCAGAGAAATGGCAGAGAGCCCCAGACTGCCACTGAGTAAGTGAAAGCACAGCTAAAGGCATCCTGAGGCTGTTACACAGAGAAACTCCTTCCTGGGCAAAAGGAAAGTTCTGGGTGCTGAGAGTAGGAGCATTTATAGAGAACACTTTGCCTCTCCACTGCTTTCAATAATGCTGTAGGATTTTAATTAAAAGTATGCATTATAAAGAATTAATAAGACTCAAGTAGATTAACAACTATGCATATTAACAGCTACATTCTGAGATCTGTCAGCGAGCCAAGGCTTAATGGGGAGACATCAACAACAGGAAGCCTACTTAGACCCCCAGTGACCTCTGGTCCAGTGCCATTTAATACGTCTTAATATCAGTAATCTGGATGACAAGATGAAGGCTTACTTTTGGGACTGATAAAACACTGCACGCTGCTTGCTGCTACAGCATGAGCTGAATGCCCTGGGAAAATTATAACAGCCCCCAGCCCAGTGATGGGCTGCAAAGGAAGGTTCTTGGGAATAGAGAAGACAGGCTGTACTGCAGGATAGAGAATCTCCCTGAAAGTGAGGGTGGGAGGCAAAATTAAGGAAAAAAGCTGCAAAAGAGCTGTCCCCACACATGACTGTTGCCATGAGCCTGCAGCACAGTACCTTGGCTCTGAGGGCCGTGAGTCAGAGGGGCATGGAGAGGATTTGCAAGCAGAGCTACAGCTCTGGCAAAGCCAACTTGATGTCTGGTCCAGCTATCCAAACTTCAGAACAGGCACAGAAATCCCAAGGAGCAGGAACACCACCACAAAAAAGGAGCTAAGGGTTGGAAATGTGACAAATAAGGCTGCATAGGATGTGAGGAGTACAAGGTACTTCACTGCCCCAGGAAAGGGTCTCATCACTGCCAGAAGGAGCAGAGTACTGGTATGGGCAGAAGGAAGGGCAGAAGCCAAAGGTGAGAAGTTGAAGATGGAAAAAACTGAAGCCTGGAATTAAGTACGGCAGAGTCACTGAAGGTTGCAGAGGCAGCCATCCTTACCATGAAGCAGCTTGCAAAATAAGTTTAGATCTCAACTAGGTCTCAACAAGTTTAAGGTCTCAGCTTAAATTTTTTAACATCGGTGGCTCAGGCATGAAGAAGAGATGCTGGATGGATGTGCTTGCTGTATTGCCCTGACCTGTAAGCACCCCTCCTGATCTCCTGTCCACAGAGCTCCAGCAGCAAAAAGGAGGCCAGGACTCCTTTCTGCAAGCCAGAGAAGGCAGTGGAGAAGCTGCGGAGGGCTCTGCCTGAGGACAGTTTTGTTCACCTGCTCTTCCAGTTCATGCACATGTCTTTCTAAAAACAGGTACAACAGCCTGAGCTGGCTCTGTAGCATTACATTACCTGCAGCAGCACTCATTGCCAGCCCTTGACCCAGGGAATGCGTAATTTCCAGCCTGGAGCTTTAGTACTTAATTACTTGCACTGCAGCAATCCCTTGTGTACCTTCAGCTGGCCTGCTATGGTGACGGGGCCACTAGCCATAGCCTCCTCTTTTCATCCTGTTCAGCCTGAGCCTCCTCTCCATTGCTCCATGGTGAACTGGAGCCTCTGAAGCCAAGTAATGCACCAGCAACCTTCATACAACACAGCAACGAACTGTTACTCATACCTGTCTCTTTCATACATACCGAAGTGAGCTGATGACCCACAGCATAAGCACAGCAGCACAAGTGCCTGAGCCAATGTCCACTTCAGGTTTACAAACCTCCCCCATTTGTGTCACTCTGATCTCTTCCCCAGGTGCCCAAAGGAAATGGTCAGCAACGCTGCCTTTGGTAAGCAACTCCCAGGGCATGTCCTGGCTGCAGAGCTACAGGCTGCACCTCTGTGGGTGACTGCCCCTCTGAAAACCCTGTGATGCACCAAGGGACATCAACATCTCCCAGGGTGCAGAGCCATAAGCCCAGAGAGATGCTCTTGAAGCATCCCACCTCCTACACATCTGAGACAAGGGCAAGCATGATGCTCAGGAAAGGGATCAAGGAGATGGGAAGTATCAAGGGCAAGGAGAGGGAAGAGGAAGGGAAAGCACCAGGCATCTCAAATGCTGCCAGTCACTGGGAAGGTGGTGGGAGGAAGTGCTGGTGCTGCTGGTGGAGGTACTTCCCTGTTGGTCATGAGAACAGCTGCCTGGCCTGGGGCACTGGGTTGGCAGGGTAGCTGCTGGCTGAGGTAGCCCTGCCATGTTCCAGTGCCTTTCTTCCCCACTCCTGGGTGCTGAGGCTTATCTGCTCCCTCTAGGGAAAAGGAAGAAAGGAGAGGAACCACCCAGCATGGCACTGGCCATAGGAGCTGTGTGAGAGGGTGCAGGGGCTGAGAGCTCAATTTGCACTGCCCTGACCCCTGTGATGCAGGATGTGGCCAAAGGTTTGTGCTCTGCTGAGGGACATGAATATGCTTGGTTTTGGAGATTCAGCATTTGTGACAACCTGTGCATTCTTGCAGCTGCTTTTCATAACAGGGAGTTAGAGTAGCTAGGGGGAAAGGCCTCTGGGTGCTCTGTTTGCTGGCAGGATGTGGGCTAATAGCAGCCATGAAGAGGCAGCTGCCAGCCACAGGCAGGGGACACAGACAGAAGGGTGCTACTGAAACACCTCAATCCCCCCGAGCACCAGTAGCTGCTCCCAGCCAGCCCAGAGCCACAGCACCCAGTGAGTGCTGCCTTCCCTGGGGGAACAGCCCACACTTCTCCATTGCACCAGGTGGCTGCAGCTGGGAGAGGCATTGCATGGTCTGGATGTGGAGTGAGCCTGTCATCTCTCCCTCGTCAGCACAGCCAGGCCTAAAAATATCCCAGAGTGGGTTGATGGTGGCTGTGCTACAGTCTCCATTATGCAGATGGAAATGGCTGGTCCCTGCCAGAATGCCTGGGGAAGCACCAGCTCCTCTGCCCTGCACTGGCACAGGATCTTGAGATCCTGTTTTGTGCTGCAGAAATCTCCATAGGAGAGAGGTGCCAGGGACAGACCATGGCATACAGCATCCCAGCCAGGCACAGCATACTGCTAGGGTTCTCCTGGTCAGGGCAGAGAGCTCCATAGGCTTTGTCCCTCCTGGATGCATGGGACTGAGCAGGGTGGAGAAGAGGGGTATAGTTTCACAGCCCTATGCCATGAACTCCTAAGAGTAATGAAATGGGGAGCTGCCCAGGCAGCACGTGATGAGTTAGAAGTGCACCCAGGCAGCTGAGCTGACAGCACTATGTATGCAAGCATAAGGGCACAGGGAGCTGAAGGACAAGTTAGCAGAGCAGCCACAGCATGAGTGGGATGAACCCTCAGCCCACAGAAAAAGCCAGAGAAGCACAAGAGCAAGGGGCAAATTTACAGTTTGGCAAGAGGGCTGGCTGGCTTTGTACCCTGCAACATGCTGCCAAAGGGCAAAGCTGCCAGCTCCTCCCTTCCCATCCCAAATCCACATGGCCTGACAGTGAGCACAGCTGCTGACGCTGAGCCTCAGGCAATCGCTCACCCAATAAACTTGACTAAGTGGGAAAAGCAGCAGAGACTGCTGGAGAAGTCAGGAAGGATGTAGCAGCTCCTGCAGGAATGGTTTAAAGGATAAGATCATGAAGCCAGCGCCAGAGATTCTGGCTCTGATATAGACTCTTGGCTGACAGGCAGTCTGATTTCATCCCAGCCTCAGAGGTGCCCCCAGGATGTCACAATCATCCTTGACCACAAACCTGAAGTGCTATTTACTCACCCTCACCGTATGGTGTGGTTTCCTCAGATCCCGGGCCAGCAGGGCAAGCCCCCTGCACAACCAAACCTCTCCTGCAACGGTGACCCAGCATCAAGGCCACACTGACTGGGTGGCACTTCCCAGAGGCACACGCTCCAAGCACAGACCTGTCACCTCTCTCTGCACCAGACTGTTGGCAGCTCCCACAGCCTGCAGGGAGCTGTCACCAGGGATCAGAGCCCTGAGCAATCTCACCTGCTTGTAGGGCTGGAGGAAAGGTTGTGCTGGGAGAGCAGTGAGTCCAAAACACCATATGGCCCAGCCATAGCCAGGCATCTGTTCACTGGGAAGTGGAAAGTCTGCCTCAGCAGGTACCAGGCACCTCTCCAAAAAGGCTGCACAAGGGCTCTTCTGTCCAGTGGCTTCAGGAGGAAGGATTCTCTAGGCAGGCTCCAGCCTGCCTGAAGAAGGGGCAGGGGGGCAGGGATCTACTGTGAGAGGTGATGACTGTCCAGCCCCCAGGATCACCCCCGCAGCCCTAGTCCTGCACTCTCTGGGAATAATCTGTGCAGCCTCCATATAGCCAGTGCACAACTGGAGGCTGCTTCTTTGCAGAGTCTGCACAGATGGCCAAAGGACTGATCCAGGTCCCCCAAATCTACCCTTACAAGACGACAGAGTGGAGGA